CTTTCTGTTTTTTAAAGCTTTCCAGGAGTTCTCACCAGGGCTTATCAGAATAATGTAGCACTTGGGCACAAAGATGCAGCCTAGGAGCCCTGCACTGGAAGCCAAGATGGAGAAGACTTCCACAGCCACCATGAACTTCCCCTTGGTGCTGTGATAGACAGGGACAAATGTGACCCAGACACTGCAGAACACCAGCATGCTGAATGTGAGGAGCTTGGCTTCATTGAATGTGTCAGGCAGGTTCCTGGCCAGGAAAGCCACAGCGAAACTCCCCAGAGCCAGGAAGCCCAGGTAGCCCAGGACACAGTAAAAGGCAGTGATTGAGCCTTTGTTGCACACGATGATGAAGTTTCTGGACTCAGAGTGTGAGTCTATGTCAATAAAAGGGGGAGATGTTCCCAACCAGATTCCACAGATAATCATTTGGATCAGGGAGCAAATAGGAATGACAGAGTTAGAAACCCCTGAGAGGAGCAAGCACCTCATTGTTCTTCTAGGTTTCACGGCACTGAATGCCAGAATTACGGTAATTGTTTTGGCCAGAACAGTGGAAACAGCTACAGTGAACACAAGGCCAAATGTGACTTGTTGGAGGACACACGTGGCTGCGTTAGGATGGCCAATGAAGAACAAGGAACAGAGGAAGCACAGCAGGAGGGAGATGAGCAGAATAAAGCTGAGAGCCTGGTTGTTGGCCTTGACAATGGGAGTGTCTCTGTGCTTCACAAAGATCCCCAAAACTACAGTTGTGAGAACAAATAAGCACAGAGCTATGCAGGCCATGGCTGTCCCCAAAGCATCCTCAAAAGCCAGGAATGTCACAGGCTTGGGGAGGCAGTGAGTTCTCTCACTGTTTGGATACTCTTTAGCTGGGCACTGGACACACTGCTTTGCATCTGGTGACAAAACAAAGATGCAGCATTTCAATTTCACAAATTGATTGTCATGTTGAAGGAAATGGTGACTTTTGTTTACTTTTCCTCAGATAAATCTCCAAAGTAATACCAAAATACTCCAAGGTAAGAGCCCATGTTCATGTCACTGGGGGAATTTTTTTTTTCATCTGTAGATAATAACAAAGTAATTTGAAATGGAGTCTCAGCATGTGAGGATCTTGGTTAGCCCATTTTATGGCTCTCAATGATGTTACCAAGGATAAGAATTTATTCCAGCTCTCTTCTCTACTCTCTTCTGAGTTTTCCTGGAGATAAACCTTATATTTCCATGGCTTATCATAATTGTTTATCAGAATAGTAATGAATAGTTTTTTTAAATTTATATTAAGTAAAGAATCACTTTAATTTGTTCTCCTGAAATATCTTAACTTTTCCTCTAACCTAATTTGTATTGATTTTTTTCTTGTATATAACATGTCACTTTGTTTGCAGAATTTTCTCATTGTACATTTTTATTTTTCTGTAAATATTATCATAAACACTCCTACGTAAATATTGAAAGCAATTTAAATATAAAACATTTGACTCTTGAATGGAATTTGATTTCTCCTATATATCAATTTTTTGAGAAATTTTTATTGTAAGTGTTTATATTTTTGGAGAGGTCTTTGCTATAGGGCACGGGTGCTTGCCAGAAAGACAGAGAGAGACAGACAGACAGAAAGTGAGAAATCACCCCCAGGGTGGATGGCCATGCCGCAATCCCTTCTCCTCCATTCTCCTCTTGTGATCTTGGGAACATACACACACACCCCCGTGAGTTTAAACCAGTGGGTCCAGGACTTGAACCATGGTTGGCTACATGGGAGTCCAGCGACATAGCCATTATGCTAACTGCTGGTTTCTCAAGTTTTTATTAATTAATTAATTAATTTTTGGTAATACTAATACAATAGCATTGGGTTGTCCGAAAAGTCATGTTGCATTTTTGCATAGAAATAAATAAAAAATACGAAATGACTTTTCCAGGAACCCTGCATATTCTCAAAGAATTAGAGTGGAGGTCATCAGGTGGCATGATGGTGAAGATGTGAGACTTCCATGTGGCTGAATGCATTTTGAATCTCGCACATGACAACTTGCTTTGTCACTTCTCTTTCTCTTTCTCTCTCTATTTTTTCTCTCTCTTTCTCTTTCTCTTTCTCTTTCTTTCTTCTCTGGTGAATGTATATGCCCTTTAGCAAATTAAAAAAATAGTAATGGTAAATAAAATTAAAGAATTCTTTTTTTTTTTTTGGAGAGGTTTTTGTTACCTGTGTGTGCTCGCCAGAGAGACAGAGACAGAAAGTGAGAAATCATCCCCCAGGGTAGATGGCCCTGCCTCAATTTCTTCTTTTTTATTCTCCTCTCAGGATCTTGGGCACACACGTACACATGCCTGGTGTGAGTATAAGCCACCAGGTCTGGGATTCGAACCATGGTCGACTACATTGGAGTTTAGCGACATAGTCATTATGCTAACTGCTGGTCCCAATAATTCTTTAAAAAGAATTAGTGATATTCAATAACATTTTTTTTTTGCAGTACCTATTCATTTTTCTACAGTCAGCAGATATTCCTGTCTTGTCTCAGAGACAGGTTTGGTACCCACAAATGTATGAATTTCTCCTGGGTCATAAACCGTTTCTTACTTTGTTTTTCCATTTTGTTTTTTTAAAGACCATTTAATTTTATTTTATTCAATATTATTTTTAAAATTTGTTGTAGGGCAGTGTGCTTACCAGATAGAGACAGAGAGAGAGGGAAAGTGAGAAAATGAGCCACCAGGCGTGTTGTAACACTACGCCGCTTGTCCCCGGCTCTCACTCCTTCACTCAGGAAACCTGTTCGGCTGTCCCCCTGGGTCGGGACACCTGGCGCCCGAACAGGGATGGGACAAGAGAGAGCAAGGAAGTGAGACAGCACCACTTCCATGAAATGGTCATGCCACAATAATATCTGTACCATTGTTTCCTCTTATCAGGATTTTGTACAACACACAAACCCTTTGTGTTTTCCAAGTTATCTTATTTGGGACTCAAGTCACAATTTAGGTCTTGTGGGATTCAGTCACATTAACTACCATTTCATGGGCTACCCTGTACCTCTCTTTTTATTTCTTGTTCTGCACACTTATTTGGCTTTGCAATTCCTTCATAAAAGATAAGTGATTTTTTTTCTTGGCATATTCTTACCTGAAGATATATATTTACTTTTACTAGCAGCGGAATTCAAATGTTTTCTACTGTTAAAATGTCTGAAATTGCACAATACATATGAAACAATTAAAACCATACTTATTCCTTAAATATCAGAAAAATGGAAGCATGATTCTTACTTTCCATATTTCATGTTTGATAATACAGGGTTTTATTATAATTTTTTGATTTTATATTCTGCATATTTTGATGTGCCCAATTGTGAAATTTATTAGAATGTTGAGTCCTCAATTTGTAAACTATGATTCTTTTTCTTTGCAATATATATCAAAGTGTGGTATTCTGATATTAGTCAATTCTTTGTACTTAATTGCACAGATGTTTGAGTATGGTTAAAAAAGTTATAAGATATTCTTATAATTGTTTATCTGAAATTCCTTTGTACTTATCATCTGGGTCTCTTAGTTCGATTCAAACTTTAAGGCACCCACAGGTAACCTTTATAATTACACGTCTTCCTATTAATGACTAATGTGGTCCAGTATGAGATCCAAAAATAACTCTATCTCATCAGGCACCAAACTGCAAGGGTGTTCATTGGAAATATTTTCACAGTTTAGTCTAATAGAATGAACATGGACAAGTAAGAGTTTACATGAAATAGGGCAGGAGATTGTTTATAAAATAAATATAGCAAAACAATAAATATGTGAATTAAGAACTGTGGTGCTCTGTGTTTAATTTATTAATTTTTTTAAGGAGGCTTTATCTATAAAGCATGTGTGCTCACCAGAGAGACAGAAAGACAGAAAGTATGTGAGAAATAACCCTTCAGGGGTATGACCAGGCCACAGTCTCTTCTTTCAGGATTTTCAGCACAAATGTTCATGCACCTGGCATGACTCGAGGTTGGCCACATGGGACAATGCCTTAACCACCACGCCACCTGCAGACCCCAATATTTTATTTCTAATAGTAATAATTTCATTTTTATTGAGCAATAGTAGGAACTGGTAGTGTAGTTATATATTTCATACTTGTTTGATTTGAAATAGCTGACTCTGGGCAAGAAGCACAAATAAAGCAACAAACAGGTCTTCCTTCTTGGGGAATTTTCTGGAATCCAGGAACACAGCTGTGACTACACACAGACTCAGGAGTCTGAGCAGAAAAGAAAATCATTAGTCATAATCATGTATGTTATACGCTGTTTTGAGGGATCAGCAGTTAGCATAATGACTATGACACTGGACTCCCACATAGTCAACCGTTGTTTGAGTCCCGGACCCAGTGACTTAAACTCACGCCAGGTGCTTGTGTGTGCGTGCCCAAGATCCTGATAGGAGAATGGAGGAGAAGGGATTGTGGCATGGCCATCCCCCCTGGGGGGTGATTTCTCGCTTTCTATCTCTCTGTCTCTTTCTGTCTGTCTGGCAAGCGCACATGCCCTATAGCAAAAAACTCTCAAAAAAAAAAGAAAAATAATAAGCTATTTTGATTACATGTCACTCTCTCCACTTTAGAGAAAACTGGCCTCATGTAATTTTCTCCTCTTATGCAATACTTCATCTAAAACCATTTCAATGCAGGTTTTTACATGGTAAAGGCTCTGAAAAGTTGTGTTCCCCCAATAATATTTATGCTATATCTTCATATCTGGTTGGGTAAAAAATATTAGGTTCTGAATTTTTAAATATCTAATAATGTAATATTAGGTAAACAAGAGAAAGCTTAAAACTCATGGGCCAACAGATAAATGATGAGAGGGTGGTTATTACATTTTGGGGCTTCTGAGGCAGGTTGAGCAGTGCTTTTCATATATGAACACAATACATGTACAAAACATGATATTTGTATAAATCTTCTGTCTCATCTAATTGCCTGAGATTATAGTCAATGCTTTGAGATGTTTAGTACAATGAGGAATTGTATGCAAAAGGTTGGCAGGTAGTGTGTGGGTTAGAGCACTGGACTCTCACACGGCTGACCATGGTTCCAGTCCCAGATATGGTTGCTTCCTTTCATCCTCTCTCACTCTATTTCTCTTTTGTCAAATTGAAGAATAAAAATAATAAATAAATAAATAAATAAATAAATAAATAAATATTTCTTAATAAAAAAGAATGATATACAAAATGACAAGAGGAAATGTGAATGGTATCTACAAAAACGTGAATGGTATCTTGATCTGTAATCTACCTGTCTTTACAGTGTACCAAATTTCAAGAAGTACTTTGTTCACAAATGATAAAGGGTTTCAGGATATATAGAGAAATTTCTTATACACATACACACACACACACACACACACTCACACACACATATATATATATATATACACATATGTATAATATGAAATGTCATGTGCTCCATAAAGACATAAGAGATTTCAATAAAAAATAAACTGCATATGTGTTAGTACTCTTATAATAATATAGATCATATCAATTCCATGTGCTCTGTGAAATATCATCTAGGTTGTGTAAGTGCAATCTATGATGTTCACAGAATGAATTTGATAAAAATACATCTCTTGGGGGCCAGCAAATGGTGGAATAGTTATGTCTGTGGATTTCCACATGACTGAGTCAAGTCTGAGTCTTGGACCCAGAGGCTTGAAACTCATGCTTGGTGCATGTATGTGTTTGTCCAAAATCCCAAAAAGAGAATGGAGGAGAAAAGATTATGGTGTGGCAATTTCCCCTGGGGCATAATTTCTCACATTCTCCCTCTCTGTTTCTGTCTGTGTCTGTGGCAAGTGCATGTGGCTTATAGAAAAAATCTCTCTCACAAATAATTTTAAAAATTCAAAAATTTATTCTCAAAAATATTTAGCTTATTAAAATATATTCAACTATGTATACATAACCACCACCTCATTGATTTTATTAATTGAACTGTTGCTTGAACAAATATAAGAAACCATATCACCTTATAAAAACTAGAAGTATTTCTATAGTTTAGAATGTATATAAGAAAAATGAGATAGTACAATTCTGGATGTAAAAGGCAAATTTTGTTTTGTTAATTTGTATTTTGACCGAGACAAGAGTACAATTTGTTTTCTTTAGACTTTTCATAGGCCATGTATGTTCACAGGAGAGAGATAGAGACAAAGAAAGAATAAGTGGGAAATGAAGCCTCAGGGAGATAGCCATGACACAATCCCTTCTCCTTCATTCTACTCTATGGATTTGGGCATTCACACACATGCACACATACCAGGCATGATTTTCAAGCCACTGGGTCCAAACTAAAATGATAGTCAGACATGTCAGCATCCAGCACCTTCACAATGATGCCTCCTCCTAGCCCTGTAAAAATCAAATTTATTGCTTAGTTAAAGTAGTCATACAATTTTATTTAAAGATTCTGTTCAGAGAAGTCATATAAATTTTGGTCTTTCGTATTTTGTGTACTCACCAGAGAGACACAGACAGATAGACAGTGAGAGAAAAAATAAGAAATCACCTCCTAGGAGAATGGCACATACATCCAGCATGAATTTTAAGTCACCAGGTCCAGGGCTCAGACCACAATCAGTCATGTGGGATTCCAGTGATGTAAGTACTATGCAATCTCCTGATCCCACCTCTGTATGTATTTCATATTGAAATGACATCATACCTCTTTGAAACTAACAGACCAGTTTATCATCTCTTCTTTGATGATCAAACCTTGATCATGGGAATTCTTATAGATAAATTCTCCTACTTTAACAAAGAGCCAACTGTGATTAGGAAATCTCACAAGGTTGTGGATATCATACTGTATCATATTTCTTTCTTCATCCAGGGGCATGTACCCAATGCTGTTTGTCAGTTGGCTTTTCCTCAGAAATGCATGAAGCTGAATTAAAGGAAGGGTTTACAAATTAGGACTGCATTTAATGTAGAGGTGGAAAATCCATATCTATATAGTAATCCTTCTATGTTAACATCTCTATTTACATGTTCACTTTTCTGTTGGGACTCAGTTTGGTTTGAGTTGTCAGCACTCAGGGCTCATGCAAAATTAACTCTTAAAAAAATGGAAGAGTGGTTGTCATTCATCAGAAAAATTCTAATATGTTTCCCAGAGTGTGATTTATACTCAGACTCTCATAAAACCAAGACTAATAAAATCTGGTTTGGACCAATTGGAGGCTGTGTGGTTATTCATAAAGGGCACAACATTGAGTGAGACAGTGGAGTAAAGGTGCTTAATAACATATGGCCAAGACGGCAACGTGAATTCTGTACCTGTAACTTACAAAACACTGGATGGGGCCAAAGGCGGCAATGGTAATAAGGTGTTAGACTCCCACATGGCTGATTGTAGTTCAAATTCTACACCTAATGAATTGATTTCTAACTTTCCCTTTCTCTTTCTCTTTGATCAATTTTTAAAAATAATAATAAAGTTATCATAATTTTAAAAAAAAGCACATATGTGTGCATGCCCAAAATTCCCACTGGAGGGAATTCCATTCATCATGAATTCCAATGGTCATGATTACATCATGACCATTTTTTATGGGGGTGGCGATTTCTCACTTCTCCTATCTTTGCCTGGAAAATCCACATGCCTTACCTAATAAATAATTTTTATAGACGTATTCATTCTATTTTATTATTATTAATATTTTATATTGACCAAAAAGAGACAGAGAGAGAAAGGGAGAAAGCAAGTTGAAAAGTCCAAGATTCAAACCACGAGAATCATCTGGGAAACCAGTGCCCTTACCACCACACCAGCTGCTGCCCCTTGTAGGAAAATTTTTGAAAGACATATAGATGGATAGATTTAAATTCTTAATAGTGGTATGATATTTTACAGGTATGCATTTCTTCAAGTTTATCCAATATGTATATTTAAAAAGTACACTTTTGGATACTATTTAGATCAAATAAAGCTTTTGAAATGGGAACAAATACATTTTGTTCTTTATCTTTATTTTGGACATCTTTTGATAAGAGTGTGATTGTCATGTGACAATACAATAAGCAATTTGTGACAAAATATAAAATTAAAATTTCTAAATTCTAACAGGTATTTTTGTTTGTTTTTGTTTTTGTTTTTCCTAGTGGGAATGTGTCCTTATGGAGAGAGACAGAGAAATAGTAGAAAAGAAGAGAAGACAGCATTTCCCATGGGAAATGGTCAAGCTGAAATCCCTTCTCTCTTTCTCCCTCCCTTTTAGGTTTTGGGCCTGTATGTATACTCACATGCCTGGAATGTTTCTTAAGCTTCCAGGTCTGGGACTTGATCTATGTGTAATCTAGCTGTCTTAACCACCAAGCCATGGGTTCAAACCACAAAATATATATATATTTTTTGAGAGGTTTTCGCTATAGGGCATGTGCGCTTGCCAGACAGAGAGAGAGAGACATAGAGACAGAAAGCAAGAAATCCCCCAGGGGGGATGGTCACGCCGCAATCCCTTCTCCTCCATTCTCCTCTTGGGATCTTGGGCACGCATGCACACGCACCTGGCATGAGTTTTAAGCCACCGGGTCCGGGACGTGAACCGCGGTTGACTACATGGGAGTCCAGTGACATAGCCATTATGCTAACTGCTGGTTCCCCAAAATATATATTTTTAAGAGAATTATTTATTTGCTCTTATCTATTATTATTATTTTAAACTTTCTAAAGGGCATGTATGCTCATGAAAGAGAGAGAGAGAGAGAGTGAGGGTAAAAAAACAAACTGCCAGATGTGAGACTGGTATCATAATCAAGAATCCAGTGACTTAACCACCACATAATATTCTGGACTCATTAAAAATATTTTTAATAAACCACGTTATCCTCTTAACTTTTGAATTTGCTTTGCGAAGGGTCAAAGTCAAACTTGTTCAAAGTGGAAATTGAATGTTGTTATTGTTAATATAAGTGGAAATAAGATAAAAACTAAACTTTCTGATGTTCATTTTAATGTATGTATATTGTATTAACTTGTTTTGTTCAGCAAATTTTTCTAATGTATTTTTCCCTTTTTGATATTTTTATATAAAATTTATAAATTTAGTGTTTATTTTTTAAATTATTCATTTTATTTTATTAAGAGTTATTATTATTTTTAAGTTTGCTTTAGGGAACATGTAATCACCAAAGAGACAGAGAGCAAGAGAGAGGGAAAGTAAGAAAGCAAATCACCAGTCCAGGACTTGAACCACAGTTGACCATGTGAGAGTCCAGAACTTTAACCATGATACCAGCTGCTGGCTCCATGATTTAGTGTTTATTTGAAATATAAACTTATTTATAAACCAACTAAAAGACCCTGAGACTATAGGCTTCAAAAGTGGTTTCATATTTTAAAATTTGATCACTGTTTCTTCCTCCAGGACTTTTGTAAACAGGATAAGTACAGTGAATTCTAAAAGAAAGTTCTTTCCATGAGTCATGTTAAGATAGTATGTAGAAATAATTTTTGTCCTCACCATGAATATTGCATAAAGGAATTAGACCACAGCATCTATATCACTAAAGATGAAATAGATATGGTTATTATATTAATATTCTCTGATGTAGGATGCATTCCTAAAAAACATACACGGATTTGACCAGTTTTGATCTATGTTCTGTCAAGTATCTGTTCTTGAACTGTTTTAGTATTTTATTTTACATTATTTTGACAAATTTAATTAATTTTTAAAAATTTATCTGAGGGTACATCTTATAGAGACAGAGAAAGAAAGCAACTTTCATGGAGAATGGTCATACTGCAATTCCTTGTCCTTCACTGACAGTATTTGTTCAGGGACACACACATTTCTAGTGGTTTCCCAATCTCTAGTCCAGGCTTTGACCTACAAAATTGGCCATTTGGGCTCTGACTGCATCAATGACCAGGTCATGGAACCAGGCCAAATACTTTAAAATCTAAGTCTCTAGTGGCAGAACTCTGTAAGTAGAAATAACAATTACCCATATACCTTGGGTGAAAAAAAACTTAAAAGAATTTTGCCTAATCTTGTTATTTTGAGAAGAAAACATAGGTTGTGTGATTTGTTTTTAAGAGAGGATGTTGTTATAGGGCATGGTGTTTGCCAGAAAAACAGAGAGAGACAGAGAGACAGAAAGCAATAAATAACCACTCCTGGTGGAGATGAGAATCTCTTCTCCTCCATTCTCCTCTTGGGATCTTGGCACACACTCACACTTGCACAGCCTCAGCCAGGTCAAATATTTTAAAATCTAAGGTTCTAGTGGCAGAAGTATATAAGAAGAAATAACAATTACCCATATACCTTGGGTGAAAATTAAGAAAATAAAAACTTTTTAAAATTTACCTGATCTAGGGACCAGCAGTTAGCATAATGGCTATGTCACTGGACTCCCACATAGTCAGCCACGGTTCGTGTCCTAGACCTGGTGGCTTAAACTCACGCTGGGTGCATGTACATGCATGCCCAAGATTCCAAGAGGAGAATGGAGGAGAAGGGATTGCAGTGTGGCCATCCCCCCTGGGGGGTGATTTCTCACTTTCTGTCTCTCTGTCTTCCTGGCGAGCACACATGCCCTATAGCAAAAACGTCTCAAAAAAATAAATAAATGCCTGATCTTGTTATTTTAAAAAGAAAACATAGATTGTACATTTTGTTTTTAAGAGAGCTTTTTTTTTAAATACGGCACGTGTGTTCACCAGAAAGAGAGAGAGACAGAAGACAGAAAGCAAGAAATAATCACTGCAGGAAGGATGGCCACAGCAAAATCTCTTCTCCATTCTCCTCTTGGAATTTTGTGCACACACGCACACTTGCCCAGCATCCATTCCCTCCTCTTGGAATTTTGTGCACACATGCACACTTGCCCAGCATCCGTTCCAGTCACCAGGTCCGGGACTCAAACCATGGTTGACTATGTGGGAGTCCAGCAACATAACCATTACACCATCTGATGGTTCTCAAATTGTGTTTTTTTTTTTTTAATACCTCACCAGGGACCAGCAGATGGTTTAATGGTTACACTGTTGGATTTCTACGTGATGGATCACAGTTTCAGTTCTGGACCCAGGTGTTTAAACCTCATGATGGACATGTGTGTGTGTGCATGCTGAAAATTCCAAGAGGAGAATAGAAAAGAAGGTATTCTGGTGTGACCATAATCTCTCAGTGGTGATTTCTCACTTTCTGTCTCTCCATCTCTGTCTGTCTCACTGGTGAGGGTAAATAACTCAAGAATAAAACTCTCTGCTCAATTGGAGTGGTCAGAGAAGTATTTCATGATAGGTAAAGTCTTTTTACAAGCAAAATGAGAAATAGTGACTGACTGTTTAAAATAATAATTAGAATAATAATAATAATGATTCGGAAAAACATTGAAAAGATATTGAATGATGAAGTGGGGATATTAATGTCTCTGTATTGACTGACATGCATGGCATTTCCTTTTGAAAAAGCGATGTAATACACTGTAAAGTTATATGTAATCCAGTGTAATATAAAGAAGATTATGATGATAATAAAAATGAATAAATAAATTTTTAAAAAACAGTAAAACTCTTTGTAGAAATAAAATAAATAAATAACTCAACAGGTGTTATGGTAATTAGGGTGGCTAGATTTCCACATGACCTACTGTGATTTAACTTCTGGAACCAGTGACTTGAAAATCATGTTGGGCACATGTGTATGCATGTCCAAAATCCCAAGAAAAGAATGGAGGAAAAGGGATTGCAGCACCATTCCAGGGGTGATTTATAACATTTTCTCTCTCTCTGGTGAGTGAACACACACTGTAA